ATGTTAAGTTGGTATGCTCTATTTTCAAGGAGAAATATTCTCTTTTAAATTGTGATTATTGCTTTTTTTTATTTTTTATTAGAATCTTGCAATTGCTATGATAAAGAGAATATTCATCATATGATAGTTTACGTATGTGATTATTATTTGAGTCCCCAATGCTATCTTTAGCAATTAAGCACAAGTTTGTTAGATCCTTTTCTGGCTCAAATTTTTATGATTTTGAAATAGTGTTCGACCAAAAGCCTTTTGAAAAATTTTCCCTTTTAAGCATTGCTTTTATCCTCGCCCTTTCCTTCATTGGGTGGTTCTTTTAGCTCAGGTATTCAAATTGGATGTGTCCTCATTTTTTGTATTCATAACAAACAACATTAGTGGTAAACTTATTTAACTTTGAGTTCTTACCTTTCTGTTTGTTGTTATGACACTTATACTTTTGTTTTAAGAATCTTTTGAATTATCATGTAATTATAGCTATGTCTTCATTTCCATCTATACCTGAATTACTTATTTTAGTCTTAGGCTTTTAAATCAATTATCTGCTCCTTTCTTTCTCCAGAATCTATATTTTTTTTATTCACTTTTTGCTCATAAGAATTCAACCAACCAAGAAGATTATTAATATAATGTTCTCACTTTTTGCTCATAGGCAATCAACGAACCAAAAAGATTGTCAATAGAATGATAATTTAAATCCTTTGAATAAGATATATCAACAACTTTTGCATCCAATGATTTAGATAAGTAATATAAAATTTTGTTAACTTTTTCAGCATTTGATATTTCTTTTTCTAAGGCATACAAAAAAGTAATTTTAACCTAGTATACATATAAGAAATTGATTTGCTAGGTTGCATGTGAAAAAATTTGTATTCATGCAATAACAAGTTTATGCTAGATTGATTTACTTCATTAGTTTCTTCATAGGTTAGACAAAGTCAATCCCATATCTATTTACTAGTTATACAAGTTGAAACATGCATGTAAATTTATGATTTCAATACACAAAAAAAATAATTTAAATAATGTGCATATGATTGTGCTAAGTCATGATCTTGTACGGACCATACATAAAAAGAAACTTTATTTTAACTCCATTTATAATGCAAAATGGCAATCCATAGCCATCTTGAATCATGTGCTACATTTACAATTCAATAGATTTTGAAAAGGTAAGCATACACTTTTTCCATAAATAAAAGATTGTTATCAAATAAAGGTGGTCAGGTCATAGAATATTCTTATGAAGTGTTATGATTACCAAAGAGTGCCAATGGATCAATCTAGGCATTTAGATTAAAATAAAAAGAGAACCCTCTTTGATACAAATTAAAATTGCATTAATGCTACTTGAAGGTGCAAAATTTTAAATTTGTTTCTGCTTAATATTTAAAATAAAATGTGCGGACGAATTTAAGAGAATAAACAACTCAAAACAAAATAAAAATACAAATTTTTTTTTGTTTTTTAACTTTCTAGAATATATATATATATATATATATATATATGCAACTAATGAATTAACAAAACTTCCTCAGATCATTCCTTTGTTTTCTGTTTCTAATGAGTGTTAATCTTTTATAAGCCACGCTCAGGAGAAGAGAGAGAACGTCCAAGAATTTTGGAAGATTTCAAATTTTGCGATCTCCAGCTGTCATCGTTGATGTTGGAAGAGGGTCGCCGGTCATCTTTAGATGACCGGAACACCTCATCCTTAGCATCTGTCGTGCATCCAACTCCGTTGGATACAGAAGGTAGATTTTCGTTCAACCGTAGCTTCTCTCGCAATTCCTACTTCATGAATACTCCTCTGGTAATCAGAGAAGGTTGTTATGTTTCTAACCGGAAGACTTTGCCTGATGGAGAGAAAGGAAATGAAGTTATTTCATGTTTGGATAGTAAGTTGATTTCATCTGGGTCGCATTGTCTAAAATTGGATTCCTTATCTAATTTGGCTTTTCTTTCTAAATCTAATGATTTGGAGGCTTCATCTTCGGGTTCCAAAACAAAAGAGGATAGTTTGTTGGACAAAGGAAATGTTGTTGATACTATCATTCTTGGTGATGATAGTGTTAAAATTCCCTCTTCAAACTATGTTTTGGATAATTCTAATGTGTGGATTAAAAAACCACATATTAAAATTAATATGAAGGGATTTATTGATGAAAATGAGGATGTAAATGTGGTCAAGCTTGATATGGAGAAAGAAAAAGCCAATTTTCAAGTTTTGAAGAATTCCTTGGTTGTTAAAATTCTTAGCAAGAATTTGCCTTTTTCAATCTGTAGTCTTGAGTTAAGGCGACGAAGGAGTAGATTTGGTGGTTTTCATATAACCTTTCTTGGATTAGATTGGCTTTTGTGCTCGTTTCAGTCATCTGAAGCTGTGGAGGAAGTCCTTAATGGAGGTCTTTGGTATGTTGGGGGCTTCATCATTGGTATAGACAAATGGTCTCCTAGTTTTTCTCCTATCTCTATGGATGGAATTTTTTCACCCATTTGGGTTCGTCTACCTCATTTGCCTCTTCATTGCTGGGATGAAACTAATATTACTAAAATAGTTTCTAAAATTGGAATCACTTTATTATTAGATGGCAACATGTTTAGATGGGGTAGAAGGGAATTTGCTAGAGCTTGTATTCGAGTTAAATTGAATACTAAGCTCCCTTGTGGTATCTGGGTTGAAGGCTTGAGTGGGAAATTTTTTCAATAAATTAAATATGAAAATCTTTCGATTCTTTGTTTCAAATGTGGAAGTATTGGACATAATGATTCTGTGTGTCCTAATGTCTCGCATATTCTGAGTCTCGCTGATAAGGAAGTCCCAAAGAGTTCAGCTCTTGTAGAGGAAACTTCGTATGGCCCTTGGATGCATGTGAAGTTCAAGAACAAAAAGAGAAAAAAAGTCTTTTTGAATGGTATGAAGAAATCTGATTTTCACAATAGGAAAAATCTGTTAAGGAGGATTTGAGTATGAATCCTGAAGAAGATAAGGAAAATTTTGTTGATGTTTCATCTGATAATGTTTTATCTGATAAAATCATATCAGATCTCGGGAAAACCAATAAGTTTAATGTGCTATCTCTTGAGGAAAAGGGTATTGTAGATGCTGAAATATTTGATGTTAACAATGCTGAAGTTGTTAACAAGGAAGTTTTTAATAAAAGCTTAAATGGGGATTTCATAATTTGTCAAAATTTTTTATAATGTTCAGAATGGTTTGTCTTCATTAGATAATGAGAATTGCTGGGTTAATCCTGATGTTTTAATTGTTGCTCAATCCGTCCAAGTTCCGGAATCTGTTCAGATTTCAAAAGATGAGTTCAATATGCCATAAATTATGGAAGGAATAGAGGATGCTGCATACATTTCTTCTGATTATGTTTCTGTTTCAGTTAAAACTTTCAAGGATATTGGAAGTTTTATAGGAGATATTCCTGTGGTTGAACCTGAAGCTGTTACTTCAACAATTATTGCCTATAAAAATGTCCGAGTTGAAGAATCTTTCAACGATTTTAGAGGATTATGTGGTGCGGTTCCTGCTATTGTACCGGAAATCGTTACTCCATCATCTGAGGTAAATTTAAATTTTAAAAAGGATCTAATTGTGAAGGATAAAATTGTTGTTAATAAGGATGGTTATTCTTCTAATTCTAAACATAAGATGTTTAAAGAACTTCAATCATTGGGACCATTGGAAAATATACCTAGAAGAAATATTTGTTCTTCGTTGATAGCAGTAGGATGGAATTCTATTTGAGATGCTTGATGTTGGAGCTTCTGCTCAAAAAGTATTTCAGATTTCTTGCTATGAGCAACGTCCTCAACATTTAGAAGTGATATATGTCTATTTCAGTGGATGAGATATATTTCCCTACGTGTTTATTGGATAGCATTAGTATATTTCTAAGATGCCTATTGGAAGTTTGCTTAGGTGTTTCTCGATTGTCTGATGATCATTGTATTTACTTTCTAGTTTATTTGTTTAGTTTTTTTATGCTTTATATTTGTTTTATAAAATTATTCTAATTGTTTATAGGATCTGTACTAGTTCTTATTTTTTAACCAATTGGAAATTTTGGGATGCTAAGTAACCTATTAGGTTGTTTAATATTTGGTATCCCCTCCACCCCAAGGTTTTTAAAATAGGAAGTAATGAATCTCATTTCAATTATGATAATTTTATTTTAACAAATATGTTGTTCAATAAAGCTCCTTTCCTTTTTTGGATCAAGGTACCCTTAGTTTTATTTTTTTAGTTTGTATCAGTGCTTTCTTTCTTTATTTTAATGCAATTGCATTTCTTCCAAAAAAAAAAAATTCTTTTATAAAAACTCAACCAAAGTACAATAAAATAAATTGCAAGAAAATTAAAGTGAAGAAAAGTAAAAAACATCAATTTAACATTCTCACAAACTCCACTTCAAGAGAATTCCTACCCGGTGCAAATCCAAAAACTACATAATACTTATAAATTAAAATGTCCCAAGTGATTTGATACTATATGGTTACGTTGAAATTTTTCATTTTTACAAACATCTTTTTTTTGATAAATATTTTTTAATAAAAATTTATAATATTAATAATATTTACTTTTTATTAAAATTTTAACTATATATTATAACCAATTACTTTGTATATATATATAATTTTGAAATATAAAATTGTTATACAATTTATTTGTACAAATTATATCTAAATATATAACATAAGTTTATAATATTAAAAATCATATTTAAATTTAAAATTATAAAAAAACTATTATGCACAAGCTATTTATAATTAAATACCAAAACTATATAATTGTATAATTATTTTATTATTTAAATTTTATTTAAATAATTTAAAATTTTATCAGATTAAATTCTGGTAATTTAAAATTTTATCAGATTAAATTCTGGTAGAACTATTAAAACTTTCCTCTCAATGTCTGATGTAATTTTAACAATTTTGATATTTACCGAAAAAATACTCTACGAGCTTACTGGAAGAGACAAATGATCTATCTGAAGCAAGAGGACCATAAATTAAGGGGAAAAAAAATGTAACATCAGAAATATTAGAGCTTAACTGCATAGCCAACGGAGAAACTAAAAAGAAAATAAAACAGCAGCAAGCAAAACCTTAGGAGTGTGAATAATAATCAGTAAGATTTCCATAATATAATGTAAATCACAATGGAGGGTAGAAGAATGAAGACAAGGAAAATCCGAGGAAAAGCAGGCCTCCAATTGTAGCAACGGTTCGCTGGGAGATCTTGGATGCCAGCATGCTCCCTCCCAGCACTGCAACTGATGTACATATCGTGTGCCCTAATATAGCTCCCACGGCTACTCCAGCAGCATTCTTATGAGTAGCCAGCTACATGAAATATGCACTTCAAATTAATAATAGGCGCAATAGAATTAAATCAATATGGGTAAGAACTAATAGATAACCACTGCAAATTATCATGACACAGCATCACCAGGTCAGATGATACGAGCTATGAACTTTCAGGTTCAATATTTATTTATTGAAGGCTCATTAACACTTTATTATTCAACTAACTGGAAAATAAAATAAAATAGTATAAACATAAGTCATGAAGCTCAATATCTACACAGGAATAAGCCTAGAAATTGCCCGCGGAGTATTTATTTATATTCATGAATATTCTCCTCAATGGTTCAACAAATAATTAGATGACAATAATTCAATAAAGAAATCATTTAATGCTTTTTAATAGCTAATATAGTCGCTTACTTAAAGTTGCTCTAGTCAAATTTATACATGGCGGTTGCATTTATGCATAAAGTTGATGCACGCGTAGCAATATACCTCTATTTAAATTTTTTTTTTAATTTTTGTTTTTGCAAATATTTGAACTTTGAAGTATATAAAAAAGCACCAACATAATAGGTGAATTGTGTAATTCTTTTATAAATGTTAAAATACAAGCATAATAGTTGGACTCAATATATGATGTTTGACTAAAGAAGGTAAATAAATAAATTTAAATAAAATTTTAGAACTCATCACGTTCAAGATTCACAAGCGCTCCCTAAGAAAAAGAAATAAACAAGCTTAAAAATGTCAGTGCTTGGCTCAGCACATCTCTTAAAACTAATTGCACGTAACATATATAGTTAATCCCAGCTTAAATTTTTTTTTTTTTTTTTTTAAAAAGAAAATATACAAGGACCAAGACTAGCAACTGAAGTCAAGTTCAAGCTTCAACAGAGTTCCATCAGAACACAAATAAGTTTTCCAATGAACACAAACTAGCACAGGTTACTTGGCTCAAGTCGACTCTATTAAAACTTATTTCATAAATATTAAGAAGCCTTCCACCACAAAAGATACTTTCCCAAATTATTAGAAACATTAAAAAAAAATTATTTCTCTGGATGAAAGGTGATCATTTAATAGTTTAGGTAGCTGTCCGCTACTAGATCCAACAAACAGAGTAGATAAATAACATATAAAAAGAAGATGACGACGACAACAACAATGAGCTTCTATCCTACTATGTGGAGTCAGCTAAATGAATCTTATTTTGCCATTGTGTTCAATTAGAAGTCAAAATCTCATTAAAATCTATAAAATATTAATTTTTAATACTTCATAACCAAGTTCTTTTAGGTACCTCTATCTTTCTTAATATAGACCAGATTTAATACATCTACTCTCTTAACGAGTCATCATCGGAAGGTCGACGTTCTGTGTGACCAAATCATCTAAGACATCTCTCTCTAATATTATCTATCACTAGAGCTACTCCAATCTTTTCATGTATATGCTCATTTCACGACTTGTGTAAAGCCACTCATCCACCTAAGCATACTCATATTTGCAACAACTTAATTTTTATATGCTTCTCGTTTAATGGCTAGCATTGTGCCATAAAGTATTGCAGGCCTCACCGCAATCTTATAAATTTATTCTTAAATTTGAAGGGTGCATTTCTATCACACAATAGGCTCAATGCATTCTTTCACTTCAAACATCCAACTTAACAATCGACCCAAGATATCTAAAATATATCTTTTAAATGACCTAATCACCCCATGTCACAATCCAACCATTAGATTTATTACTACTAAAATTATACTCCATGTACTCAATTTTAGATCTACTCAAACGAAAACCTTTTACTCTAAGATAGACCTCAATAATTCAAGTTTTTCATCAACTCCCTTTGTAGTCAAATCAAAGGAAAAAAAGAGGAAAATTGGAAAGACGGAAAAAATATGCCAAATTAGTAGCATAAAAAGGCCAGATGTAATAATAGCACAAGCATTCACAAGCTCGGAAAAAGATTAGTAGGAAATGATATCTTACAGCAATTGTGGTTATCTGGCTGCGATCCCCCCATTCAGCTAAAAAAGTCAAAATGAAAGACTGCATAAACAGAAAAAAAAAAAAAAAATCTTTTAGAACATTTTCCTGAATGTCATCATAAATGCCTTTTCAAGGATTGATAGAATAATATTTGAGATGTCAGCATAAAGAAATGGCAGGCTTACAGAGTACAGAATAGTCACATATTCCCAAAGAATGGCAAAAACGAATTTTCCAATGATTCTAATTTGCAATATGGTCTTTGTAACGACAAAAAAAAGAGAGGAACTTTGCATTTTATAAAACTACCTCTAGGAAAATAGGAGTGCAAAATCTGGAAAATAAACGACGATAAACTGATTTTCCTTGCCCAGCTTCAAGTTTTTCTTCTACCTGCACTTTCCAAGAGATTCAGACAATTGAGAAAATGTTGGAATAACAATTTTCAGGAGAGATTGGCTTTAACAGAAATGAATTATTCTGAAATTTTCATTAATTTTCCATAAGTTTAACCAATTCTATGTGCACGTATGGTGTCATGTGCGTATTAGGGACTTCAATTGCTAAATAAACAATAAATTCAATACCACATTCAACTTCTACGAAACCCTTTGTAGTGTTTGCTTTTATATCCAAGGGAACATCCATACGCTTGAAGTTAGAAAATGCACTTTGAAAAACATGGGTTTATTATATTCTAGCACTTAGTTGGAAGAAGAAATCAATATTGATTTAATTCACCAATTAACTTTAAAATCTTTCAAATATGATGATTTCAATTTCAACAAACATTAATGAAATAAAATCGTCATTTTCTAAAACATATTTTCTACTAAAAGCAACCACATGAGCCGTAAATTACTTCATATCCAACAAAACTCCCATATGGGGTTGTTAAGCAGCTCATTGTGCATCTATGAGATTTTTCATTTGTTTAACCTAACAACACTGGACAGCAATCAAACATTGAAGCTCTCTAGAACGCACAAACCCTTTTTTTTGGGGTTTATCAATTTAAACTGCATGTCATCATTCATATTTCTATGAGGATAGCAAGTTACAGGATACAGCACACCTTGCGAAAGAGAATATAAGGTGAAAAAAATACAATGACAAGCACATACATAAAGAAGCAATTAATCAATTCGCAGGTATATACTGCCAAAATACCATATAGGTACAACTATTGGATCCAAAACTATGCAGATGACATCTGACTTTATTAATAGGCCTATGCTGTGAGCAAATGATCTGAGAACTTGTGAGTGAATGGAGAGAAGAGGGAGAGGAAAAATAACCAAAGAACTAGAGAGAATATGTAGAGAACTCAGGTAAGTGTTGAAGTTAAACTAGCATAAACTTCACCATAATCAGCTAGATGGTGTAGAAAAGTACTCTCAAACTGTTTCTTATCACCCCATATTTATAGGGTTTTGAGAGGTACAAGAAATTATACATAAAAAAAAAGTAAAAATGCATTGCTACACAGAACATCCGTAACAATGCTGTATAGACTACGGACGCATCAACTTCCAATTAGCTGAAAAAAGAGAGATCCGAAGGGCTTCGATGAGTTATCTCTAGGTGAGTTCAAAAGTGTCAAGTAGGAGAGTAGACTTGGATGAGTCTGTGGGTAAATGCTGAGATGAGAGGGCGTGCTAACAATAGGCTTATTGATGTTTGAGAGATCAGATCGCTTGGGAAGAGGGCAACAATAGAGACGATGTCGCAAGAAGGGAGAGACCTCAAGTTTAATGGTCGCAACAAGACAAATTGAGGGACCCATGAATTGGTGCTTTCTTATAGATGAACATGGTGAGCTTGCATGAGAATGATCACTCTGACAAAAAGCAAGTAACTGAAATAGCGGTCCAGTTATGTGGCATCTAAGTCGCTACCTTGAAGAGGTATTTCCAATTCACCCTGTAAAAAGGGGCAAGCTCTCTAGTAAGCTCATGCAAGTAATGTCTGTTGATCATGTTGGGCGAGTCATCCTGCAGGTTCCAAGTGAGCAACACCTCTTGGATCGTTAAGAGAGTTTATACTATAGACTCCCCTTGAGGTTAAGCTCCTCTATCATGGCCCACTGGCTATCTGCTAAACACCTTTAAAGACATATAAGTATATATTTAGTTATCCACCTCACTTATTCATTTTATAGGCGAATGCCGAAAAGTACAAGTGAAAGATATTAAATGTGTCTACCATTTTTTTTTTTTTGAAAGATGCATATAGCAATAGCATTAAAAGAAAAAGAACGTAATACAAACTATTAATTCCGTCACACTCTTCCTTTAACAATTGAAAAAACTGAGGAATATGATCCATACTAATATCATCCCAAAAAAGCTAGTACTAAGAGCAATGTTAGCACAAACATCTGCTAACTTATTGCAATCCCTATTCACACAATTAAAAATGACATGATGAAATTCTTTAATAAAAGACAAATATTCAATTCCATTGCAAGACTTGCACGCCTTCATCTTCTTAATATCTTCCTGGATATACTTAATAACATTGACATTATCCCCTTCAATTATAATTCATTTGTACTGCATCATCCAAATTGAAGACCAATTCCAATGAGTGAATAGCTAACATTTCCAACCGAGAAATGTCCCAATGAACACCATTGAACCCAAATGCTAATAAGAGCCTTCCTTTGTGGTCCCGGAAAACACCTCCAACTCCAGCCTTATAAAAAGATAATAAAAAAGCATCTACATTAACTTTGATCCAATTGAGAGGAGGATGCCAACAATTTCTGAACAACCGAACCTGTTGATTAGTACCTAGATGCCCGATTTTATTCTGATGTGTTTTATTCTGATGTGTTTGTCTAACAGGGAAATGGAAGCCATTCCCACTGAATTTGTAGCAATAGTCAGATTACTATCTTCCATATCACCATGCACAGCTTTGTTTATGGATTTCCAACAAAGGAAAATAGCGGAACAATAAAGATTAGCAAGAAATACGTTGTTAAATGCAGATTTTTCCAACCAAATGCAGCGTTCATGAAAAGTTCCAATAGACGGAATTTGAAAACCCCATTCATTCAAAATTTGCATTATTCGAAGGAGTTTTGAACAGCTACCTGCCACATGTTCATAGTCTTCCATCACCTTACATCCTCTATGACATAAATTACCATCTCTTAACCTTCTATATTTCAAAAACTGGAATGTGGGAATAGCATTTTGATATAGCCTCCAACATAAAAACTTCCACCCTGGATTAAGCTTAATCTTATTAATCCAATTCCAATACTTCTTTATAATCGAATACGCCACAGCAGTTTCAAATGATAGAGCAGAGATCGATTTACCTGCCACTTGCTGAATGAGTTCTACTTGGTCTTTAGTAAGACTTGGATCAATCTGGACTTCACAAATAAGCTTCATCAATTCCTCTCCAAATGATTTCTGAAGCTCTTCCACGTCCTAGTCACCATTCTTGATGTAATAGTCAAAAGTCATCTCATCACTTTGTAAGTTAGAAACAAAAGTAGACCACTTAATGGGAGCTTTATCCAATACCCAAACATCTTTAATCACATTCACGGATTCCCCTGTTGAGATCTTCCATCTCACAATCGGTTGTAGAGCCATAGCACCACTCAAAATTATCTACCAAGCAGTAGACAAATTCTACTTGACTTCAGGATTCCAGTATACCGAACCATATCTGAACTCCATGGTCTTATACAACAAAGAATCATTTTCATTAAGAAACTTCCATGCCAACTTAGCTCTTAATGCTCCCACCTTGCTTACTCATGAATGCAGTCCACGGCCTCCAGATTGAATAGGTTTACACAATGTTTCCCAGTACACATAGTGAAGACCCTTCCTCGTGTCATTCTTATGCAAAATAAATTCCCTACAAACCTTATCAATTTCAGCCAAAAGACCAATAGGAACATTTAACAAGATTTAGCAAGAAAGTAAAGATAAAGTTATTACCCTATTTTTGCTGAAGCCTCAATGATTGCTTTAACCTCGCATTGATGAAGCTAAAATGATGCTATTCTCAATTGGCTCTTTATAAATAGTGGGTTTGTCTTGAGAGAATTTTAATCTTTTGCTTTGATGAATTGAAAGCTTACTAGTTTTGAGAGAATTACCCCTATCGAGTTAGCTCACTCTTGTGTGAGAGGGCCTTAAAGAAGTTCTTCCACCAAGGGCAAGCTGAGAGGTCAAAGAAGAAGGCAACTTAGAAAGCAACTGCGCCCTCACCGAGTAGAGAAGTTGATAGCAGCACCCAGACAATGCCGAAGACCCAAAAACTTGTCAACACCCCTCCAACGAAGAAGAGCAAGGTTCATCCGCGAGCAACAACAAGGGCCATTGTTGTGCCGATTATGGCAACTAACGATGTTGAGCCCTCCACTGCTGGTGGTGATGTCAATCTTCTTGTGAGGATCATTATGCCACCTAATGAGGATGACGAGGCTCTTGACATGCAGCTAAAGAGGCAAGTGGTGCCAGGCGCTCAACAATGGATACTACAGAGGAGGTATCCTCTACTAAGGTTGGTGCAAGTTCTTAAACGCCTGCATCTGGAGCAGGTAAAAGAAAAATAGACAAGTTTTAAATATTTAAGAATTTCCTTATTAAGAAATAAGGTACCCGCTATGAGAGAGCCTATAGTTTGTGTTTGCTCGAGGGACTTGATGTGGCACTCGCAAACCATGCAAAAGATGAAGGCTTGGGAAGAATGGGAGCCTTTCTAGCATTCAAGGGAGATTGTCCTACGTTATCAGCTCCAAGATGTGCTTCAAAATTTTTTAGATCTATTTATTGAAGAGCGCTTTTGATTATAGGGTGCTGCCTGCAGGAGAATTTCAAGAGGTCGAGCCTTCGAGAGTGGCCAAACTCGCAGGTGTTGGCGAGCAAGCACGGGTGTTGCAGCCGAGTAGATTTAGAATGCGATCGGAATAAAGGAGCCTATCCAAGGTTGCCGGGATACTAACCATCTTGGAGAAGAAAATGAATATCCAAGGTGTCAATAAGTCTGGAAGCTCGCAGGGGGTGGAAACCTTGGAGGAGTTTACTAATATGAGTGAGATCATCAAACTAAAAAGGGAGCTCGACTAGCTCAAGAGTGGCTTTGCCTCTGTGAGGTCTGAGATAGGGAAGCTTATCGTCAGGCGAAGATGCCCATCTTCACAACAGGCAATAAGTTTGTGTTAGATTACTTAACTAAGATAGGGGGCTGATGCTAGCAATAGAAATGAACCCCACGTGTAGATTTTTTTGTGGCAATGAGTAACCTCGAACTACTTTCTCTTTTTATTGTAATGATGTATTGTATGCGCTCGTCGAGCTTATGTAAAGATGATTCTATTAATAAAATTTCATGTTTGGGCGAGTTCATTATTTTTATTTATTTTTCACTTTTTTTCTTTTTTTTTTTAATGTGGCGTGTTGTTTGTATATGGTAAGTAAGACTGCCTTTTAGGTACCTGAGTTCTATTATTGTGGCAAGCAGCAAAGCAGCTGCCCTTCAAGTTTAAAAAATAAAAAGACATCTTAACTTGGAACGTCAACCATAAGTGGAAGCTATCATTTTTTTCCTCTACAAAGTAACAATAAAAAATCAAAACAACTATTTATAGACTACTAATCTCCGTCCAGAATTTT